TAAAGAAGATGTGGTATTTATATACAATGGAATATTATGCAGCCATCAAAAGGAATGAAATCTTGCCATTTGCAACAACATGGATGGAACTGGAGGGTATTATGCTGAGCGAAATAAGTCAATCAGAGAAAGACATGTTTCTGTTGCATTTCTATACACCATTAAAGAAACAGCAGAAAAAGAAATCAAGGAATTAATCCTATGTACAATTGCTCCAAAAACCATGAGATACCTAGGAATAAACCTAACCAAAGAGGTAAAAGATCTGTTCTCTGAAAACTATAGAACACTTACGTAAGAAATTGAAAACGACACAAAGAAATGGAAAAATATTCCATGCTCATAGACTGAAGAAAAAATATTGTTAAAATGTCTATACAACCCAAACACTCTACATATTTAATGCAGTCCTTACCAAAATACCAACAACATTTTTCACAGAGCTAGAATAAACAATCCTAAAATTTGTATAGAACTACAAAAGATTACTATAGCCAAAGAAATCCTGAAAAAGAAAAGCAAAGCTGGAGGCATCAAATTCTGGACTATATTACAAAGCTGTAATGATCAAGATGGTGTTGTATTGGCACAGAAATAGACACATAGACCAATAGAATAGAATAGAAAACCCAGAAATGAACCCACAACTATATGCCAATTAATCTTTGACAAAGCAGGAAAGAATATCCAATGGGAAAAAGTCTCTTCTACAAATGGTGGGAAAACTGGACAACTACATGCAAAACACAACATACACAAAATAAATTCAAAATGGATGAAAGACCTAAATGTGAGACCTGAAACCATAAAAATCCTAGAAGCGAACACAGGCAGTAATTTCTTTGACATTGGCTGTAGTAACCTCTTTCTAGATATGTCTCCTGAGGCAAGGGAAACAAAAGCAAAAATAAATTATTGGGACTACATCAAAATAAAAAGTTTCTGCACAGTGAAGGAAACAATCAACAAAACTAAAAGGCACCCTATGGAATGGCAGAAGATAAATACCCAAAAAATGAATAACCCAATTAAAAATGGGCAAAAGAGGTGAATTGACATTTTTCCAGTGAAGACATACAGATGGCTAACAAACACATGAAAAGATGCTCAACATCACTCATCATCAGGGAAATGCAAGTCAAAACTACAATGAGATATCACCTCACACCTGTCAGAATGGCTGAAATAAAAAAACACAAGAAACAACAAGTCCTGGGAATGATATGAAGAAAAATGAACCTTGTGCACTGTTGGTAGGAATGCAAACTGATCAGCCACTGTGGAAAACAGTATGGGAGTTTCTCAAAAAAATTAAAATTGTACTACCCTACAATCCAGTAATGGCACTAGTAGGTATTCACCCAAAAAATACAAAAACACTAATTTGAAAAGATACATGCACCCCTACATTTATTGCAACATTATTTATAATAGCCAAACTATGGAAGCAGCCCAAGTATCTATTGATAGATAAATGGATAAAGAAGATGTGGTATATACATATACAATGGATTATTATTCAGTCATAAAATAAAGTGAAATTTTACCATTTGCAATGACATGGATGGAGCTAGAAAGTATTATGCTAAGCAAAATAAGTCAGTCAGAGAAAGACAAATACCATATGATCAGTCATATGTGGAATTTAAGGAACAAAACAAATAAGCAAAGGGAACAAAAAACTGGAAAGAGGCAAGCTAAGAAACAGATTCTTAGCTATAGAGAACAAACTGATGGTTACAAGTAGGGAGGTGGGGAAGATGGGTGGAATAGATGACGGGGTTTAAGGAGTACACTTGTGGTAAGCAGTAGGTGTTGTATGGAAATGTTGAATCACTGTATTATACACCTGAACTTAATATTACATTGTATCTTAACTAACTGGAATTTAAATAAAAACTTGAAAATCACTAACTCGATAAATAAATTAATTAAATTTATGGTAGACTTCACATTAAAATTCTGGTAAAGTTTGCTGTATATCTTAAACCTAATTCTCTATGTCCTCATGTGAGTTCCTCAATCAGCCACTTTTTCTTTTCCTGTTAATGCTCCATGCTCATATTGGGCACCTCTATATATCTTTCCATGGGAAGGAATAGATCTGGAAAAATCTTAGGAGGACTGATAAATATTTTTGTTCTGTTTCTTTTTTCTTAAGATTTTTATTTATTTATTTGAGAGAGTGGTGAGAGAGCTCACAGAGGGAGAGGGAGAAGCCGACTCACTGAGATCATGACCTGAACCGAAGGCAGACACTTAACTGACTGAGCCATCCAGGCACCCCTTTGTTCTGCTTTCTATGGTGAAATAAAACATCAGAGCTACCAAGAGTCTGAGAACTTCAACTAATGTTTATCTAAATAATGTCAATGACATGACTGTGCCTAAAGAAGGGAGAAACATTACTGTCTTGTTTTACTAAGGAGTAGACGTAGAGGTAATCTAAGGGCTTTATTTGGTAGACAGCCTATGCTATGAACTAGCCACTTTTCCTATATCAACACAGAGAGGTTTTTAATAGACTTGTTTCTCTGAATTTATTTTTCTTAGTTTAATTTTTTCACATTTTTAGAATATTGAATTTATTTTATTCAAAACCAATTAATTAACATATACTGTATTATTTCAGAGGTAGAGTCTAGTGATTCATCAGTTGCATATAACACCGAGTGCTCATCACATCATGTGCCCTCCTTAATGCCCATCACCCAGTTACCCCATCCCCCCCCTCCACTCCAGCTACCCCCAGTGTGTTTCCTATAGTTAAGAGTCTCTTATGTTTTGTCTCCCTTTTGATCATAAAAAGAATACATGTTCATTACAGAAAATACATGAAAATACAGTGAAAAATTTTGAAATAATCCTTTCAGTGATCCTACCTCTCACTTCTTAAAATAGGAGTGGTTGGATATTTTTGCCAGTGTTTTCTCTTTGCATATATGCAGGTGTGTGTGTGTATTTGTGTGTGTTCACATACACTTACCTTTTCAAAAAATTAGAAATGTACTATATTTATAGTTTTATATCATGTACTCAAAAATTTTATCATTTTTTCTCTTATTACAACCAGCAATACAAATTCATTGTAAAAAATATTTAAATATAAATAAGAAAATTGAAAAAATAAGAAGTATCAAAATAAGTAAAATTAGACAAAAGGAAAAAAATTGCCTATAATTCCATCCAGAAATAATAATGTCAATGTTTTGGTATAAATAATGTCAGTGTTTTCATTGTAAATGAAAATATACACTTTTTTCCTTTTATAAAATGAAGATCATAGGGGTGTCTGGGTGGCTCAGTTAGTTAAGCGTCCAACTCTTGGTTTTGGATCAGGTCATGATTTCAGGGTTATGATATGGAGCCCTGAAGTGGGCTCCATGCTTAGTACAGAGTCTGCTTGAGATTCTCTCTCTCTCTCTCGCTCTTTCTCCCTTTCCCCTTCCCCATTTGCACTCATACTCTCTCTCTAAAAAATAAATAAAATAAAATTAAGATCACAGTGTATCTACATAGTAGATTTTGTCACCTTCATTTGTTCACTTTCCAATAGATGATGAATATTTCCCTTATTATCAGCTATTCTTGTCCTTAATTTTTATAGTATTTATTGAAGGATTAGGTCCTAAATGAAACAATCCTCTGTTGTTAAGCATATAAGCTGCTTCCATTTTTTTCCCAATTATAAACAGCACAGTAATGGCTATCCCTGTATTTGCACCTATCCACACTTATTTCCTAGAACGCATTGTTAGAATTGCTTTATCAAAGCATATATGATGTGAATTTATCATTTGTGTATTTATTTATTTTTAAAAATTTTACTTATTTATTTGACAGAGAGCTAGAGAGCACAAGCAAGGAAACAAGCAGAGGAAGAGGGAGAAGCAGGCTCCCCGCTAAGCAGGGAGACCAATGCGAGGCTCAATCCCAGGACTCTGGGATCATGACCTGAGCTGAAGGCAGATGCTTAACTGACTGAGCAGCACAGTCTTTTTAAAATAATTATTTAAGTGATCTTGAGAAAAGCATTCTCAATGAAGTTTTGGGGAATTAAAAATGAAATCATAGCCTTTTATTTTTTCCATAGAGGAGTCCAGTGAAGTTCCAAATGAGGCAAGGGCTCATAAGGAGGAGGACCATCATGCAGTATCTGCAGATAATGTGGTACGTACATTTTGAAATTCTTTCTTCATGATAGATTCTTTCCTACATGATGGATTTAAAGGATATGTTTCCAGTTGGTAATAATATCTGTGTTACCATAATTAAATCCTGCGCCACTTCACAAGCCAAAACAAAGCTGTCATCCATGAAATTATATATCTTTGAGGGTTTAAGAAATGAAATTTAAAGCACTGTCATTTGTGCCTCAAATTTTTTTGACTGAAGAGATTTGCAAATATAAAAATCTAATGCTTACTACATATAGACATTTTATACATATGTTATTTTTCTTTAACATATTTAGCAAAGGGCAGATTTCTTTTCATTTAACATATGGAAGAATTAAGAGTGAGGTTAGACTGCCATAATGAAAGAAGCCTTTGTTAGTTCTAGGACTGTATCTAAGGAGTCCTGATTCAGAGTTCTCTGTTCAGACCATACCTATGTCTATGTTTGGAACATTTCCTTCTTTCTAGTTGAATTAAACTCTCTTAGTCTTCTTAAAAATTGCACTGATGGAGGAAAGACAATATTAAAAGACTGAATAACAGGCAGAGACAGACTATATGTGGATTAAACTGGGCTTTGTGAAAATGTTAACATTATTGGTATATAGAAATGTTCTCCAAGCAGCTGTTTTAGCAGCATCTGTTTGTATCCTGACTCCATCAAGTAATACAGAAATCAAGATAGTATTAAAGTCAAACATAAAGGCAAATGCCATTTTGTTATTTCTTTCAAATCAGTGATTTTTGCTTGATTGCAATCTTTAAAGAAAATCCCTATAATGGATTTTTCTGTTACAAAATGAGTGTAACTTCATTTACTCTGGCTTCCATTATAAACATTATTTATATGACACTATAATTCTGCCACATCTCCTTAATAAAAGTTGAACACATAAAATACAGTTTTGCTCTTATTTGTTAAGCATCAACAATTTATAACAATATTTTCCACATGCAGAATATAGTTTAGGATTATATCTTATTGATTTCAGTCCTGATTTCAACGGATGTTTGACCCTACTAACACAACTCAATAGGCATATAGGAAAACAAACTTTGATTTTGATGTAATGTTTTCATTAGATAGCTAGTAATAATTATTTCCACAATTAGTTGTGTTAATATTCTTAAATTCCATGAAATAACAATCTCCTCTGCTCTAGATTTGAATTATACTAAACAAGTTATAGACAATTATTTACAAATTAAAATCTTTTTTTTTTTTCTGTAAACACATGCTCATTTTTAGTCTGAATTTCTCTGCATTGGATCTCCCCTCAGCAGACATTTGGAAATAAATGAAATAATGGCATGGGATGACCTAAGTCACTTAGGCACCTAATTTTTGAAAAAAACAATTCATTTTTAGAGACAGGACTTCAAACCTCCAAAGGCCCATCTCCTCTCCCTATAACTTTTGAGTACCCCCAATTATTCATAAATGGCAAATCACAAAACATTTAAGGCTGATTTATATAGAGTGGCCTTTGGTGCTTTCTTCCCTGAATTACTTATCTCCTTTTCCCCAGAACTGATCCAAACAGAGAATCTAAAAAATGTTTTAAAAAGTATCAAATCAGGTCTGGTGAAAACTGACATGATTAAACCCCAAGTTTATAGTGATTTTAATAATAAAAAAATTAGATTCATTTCCAGTAAGGAGTAGAAAACAATTTCATTGCAACTATCCTCTTGACTCAGAAACCTACAGGTCACACACCCTGTTATGGTTACATATCCTCATAGGCAATGTACTAAGTATGATCATTCCAGGTATGTTTGGGACTTTTTAAAAATTGTTATTCAAATTCCAATGAATTAACATACAGTACAATATTAGTTTTGGGAGTACAATATAGTGATACAACACTTCCATACAACACCAGTGCTCAAATATTTAGAACTGATTTTGGTTTTGGTTTTGCTTTTTAAAGAAATTATGTTTCATGATTAGAGAACTTTCCTTACTCCCATGGTTGGAGTTTACTGGTCATTCTTCACATCAGCAGTAAGCTGTTTTCTTCACTCTTTTGACAGATATTTAATTAGTACCTACTGTGTGCAAAATACTGTACAAACTATGTTGCACCTTAATTCTAAATCTAATGACAGTTTAACATCTCTCTCTATCTCTCTCTCCCTTCTTACTGTCCAGTGAAGGAAGAAAATCACTAGTTTATTTTTATTATTACACCATAAATGTCTGCTTTCAATTGTCTAGCTAATGGAGTGCATTAAATATGTGACTTAAAAAACTGTATTTGACTTTGGAATGCATGTCACATGTTGATATTTTACATTAAAAGTTGTAAGGAAGTACATGGTAATTAAAAAACGAAACAAACAAACAAACAAAAAAAACCCCTTGCAACAAAGCAGTTATGGTTAGCATTAAAAAGACTACTCTCACAGGAAGTGAATTTCCTGTCACTGGAGGGCACTATTTAAACAGAATTCAAATGCCTATTTTTTCAGAAATATTGTGAAAGAGATTTTTTTCTATTTTAAATAATATTATAATAATTTTCTATTTAATAAGCTGTCATCAATTAAAGGTAGTTAAATGTGGCTCAGACACAAACTGGATATAACAATGAAGAACCAGTCAGGTATCAGAGTTTATTCTGGATAACCTAGACTAGATAACCCCATCATTAAAACTAAACATTGAATGTTTATGTTCTATACACTGCTGGGTGTAGTGATGATGATCAGATATATATTTATGAAAATTTCTCTACTTGTGTTACAGAAAATAGAAATTATTGATGATGAAGAAAGTGACATGATAAGTAATTCTGAAGTTGAACAAGTGAATTCTCTCTTGGATTATAAGGTGAAAGTAATTTCAAATACTGAATTCATTAAGAGAAGGTACTAAATGAGGCAGACTTTTACAGTGCCTATGTACTAGCTTATTTCACTTTCAGTTTTATTTGATAAGTTAAAGTGGGGCTCCCTATTGACTTTCTCAGGCACTTGGATATCAGTCAGGATATGGACACTTTAATTCTGGCTGCTTTAGTGGTTATTGTTTCAAGCAACGAGCTTGCTGAATGGGAGTTAAGTATTGATAGTGTACATCAAGGTGAGGCAGGACATAGTGGTGGTTAATGTGAAATTTATGACAGTGGCTTTAAAGCTAATGTTTATTTTTAAATGGTGGTAAAGGGGAGATTTTTTTTTTCTCAGTGGCCCTTGTTAATTTTATCTTCAATTGCAACTTCTGAAGACCATTTTTTAGGAAACCTGTTTTAGAAGTTTAAAAACAATTCCCAAAGCAAATACCAAATGAATATAAAGAGAGATGATCTTTTCTTAAAGTCACTGGTACCTAAACTGAAAGGCTTACTTTGAGAGTGTGCATACATAACTTTATTTTATTAAATTTTGACATGAGCTATCACTCTATATCACTATTTGTTTTCTGCATAGATATGTAATTGTTATCCTTTGTTAATCAATATCCTATCATACTAGGTAACTTTGGGCCTTCTGAAATTTTGGCCAAACAATCATTCTATCCATACACAAAAGCCCTTTTCTTGGAATATCGTTAAGTGTTCAAAGCAGAGACTAATAATCTTAAAATGTTAACAGAAAATAACAATCAGAAAAGACAATAGCTGTCATTTTCTCAAAAATCTTTTCAATTTCACTATAATTGAAAGTTATGTCATTCAACAGATTGTTTCTTAAGTGTTTATAACATGTCAGACTTTATAATATTGAATATTGTAAACATAAGACAATTATCTTTTGAAATTTATTTGATAAATGCTCAAAGAGCACAGTATAATCCTGTATTTAAACTGTATTTCCAACTAATAAAATTATAAGGTTGTTATTTCTGAACTACAAGAGATCATTCTAATCTCTCCTATATGGTCATAAAATATTTCTAAATGCCCAGTTCAGGTTTAAAAGGGCTCTGTGCCACTTGGCACACGTTATGGAAACTACAGAGGCAAGGACTGGATCGCACAGCTGTTAAGTATTCTCCACTTAGCACTCTCAAAAAGATCAATGGGGGTTGGGCTCAGAATAAAGGATACTTTCCAGAACCTTACCCTTCTGGAGTGCCACTTGAGAAGGTTTGGAGCTAAAGACCAGGGTAGGGTAAAGTATCCAATCCCAAAAATGCTAATTAACATTTTAATTGAACTCTACAGGATATTTAATGATCCTGTGTTTTCCACTGTGGTAAATGCTGTGGTAACAAGGAGTCCTTAACTACCCTATCAGGAATGTCTTTGACAACACATCACCATCCTACATAGATTTATTTCCTTTAACTCTAAAAAATTAGCACCTATATAGAAATATATTTTTTCATAATCATTATTAAAAATACTTCACCTCATATGTGAATTGTATTGCCTTAGTTCTAAAGTCAGGACAAATTAGTAAAAGAGAGACAGTCGCAGATTAGGAGACTCCTGAGCTCACTTCTTCCCACAGACACACCTAGGCAACACTACATCTAGGCAACTAACTCTGAAAACAACATGAACATTAGCAGAAGAGACATTCCACAGCCAGTCTTAGAGGGAAAGCCACATTGAAAAGGGTAAGAGGGGCAGAGATGCAGTTGGGAACCAAACTTCCTGTGTGACTAAACACAAACAAGAGGGACATCACAACAATAGAAAAGTGAGAGACTCAGACCCCACACAGGGCCCTGTTGGCACTGGAGACACACAATGGGAAGACAAGTCCTCATAATGTCTGACTTTGAAAACCAGCAGTCTTTAATTCTGGGAACTTTACAAATCAGTAAGTTTAATGCCAGGAAAGCTGGAGGTTGATGGGAAACCGAGTACCTACCCTTAAAGAGCCAGCATATTACTAATATAAATGAGCCCAAGACACAGCACAGAAACAGCAGTTTGAAAAGTGAATGGGTTATACATGAAAGAGATTTATTGAGTAATCTTAGAACATGTGCTCGAAGGACAAGTATCTGCAAATTTCTACAAGAACAGAAGTGCAAGCTGTCACATATTTCTTTCCCTCCCCCAGTGTAAATTGCCAGAGGCTTAAAAGAACCATTTCTAATACTCTCCATCTTCCTTGCCAGCACCAAGTGCTTTACCCTGGAATTCCCCTGTGGACCAACTACACCCAACCTACCTGCCATGGTAGGCACAACTTCCAAAGCTGCTCCTGCCTTTCCACACCTGTTATGCAGCTTAGGCCCAGACCAGTGCCACTCCAAAGTAACTCCAGTCCTGGGGAAGGGGTAACAAACTCACACACCAGGCACCCACAGTTCCTTTAGTTAGACCTTTTAACTGCATGTATAGGACTGAGCCCTGCACTTCTGTGCAGTTTTGGCAGAGAGGCTAATAGCACACTGCTAGGATGTATAATGGCCTCACCCGCCAACCAGTCCTACCAGGCCTCAGCCAGGACTCTCAAAAGTGTGTTCACAGAGGGTGAAGTGGGCCATTGCAGATATCTGGGCTGAAGGTAACTATGGCTCAGCCACAAGAGAAGGGTACAGACAGCCCACACAGGGGACACCTGTGGGGCACCTGGTTCTGGTGACATGGGGACACTGCACTATAGGGTACCACAGGACCTCTTCTACACAAGGCTACCATTTTCAAGATCAGAAGATGTAACTGACTTACCTAATACATAGAAACAAACACAGAGAGTTAGACAAAAAGAGGAGACAGAGGAATACACCCCAAATGAAAGACAAAATCACAGTAAAAGAGCAAAATGAAACAAAGATAAGCAATATGGCTGATAAAGAGTTCAAAGTAATGGTCATAAAGATACTCACTAGACTTGAGAAAAGAGTGGATAAACCCTGTGAGAACCTCCAAAAAAAGAGAGAATATAAAAGAATGAGTCAGAACTGAAGAATTCAATAGCTGACATGAAAAATACATTAGAGGGAATCAACAGCAGATTTGAGAATGCAGAAAAATGGATTAGCAATCTGGAAGACAGGATAATGGGAAGTAACCAATCTGAACAGCAAAAAGCAAAAGGAATAATGAAAGAGAATAGGTTAATAAAACAATGCAACACTATCAAGCATAATAATATTCACATTATAGAAATCCCAGAAGAAGAGATAGAGAAAGGGGCAAAAAAATTTATTTGAAAAAAATAATAGCTGGAAAATTCCCTAACCTCGGGAAGGAAACAGAAATCCAGTGCAAGAAGTAAAGAGTCCCAACAAGATGAACCCAAGGAGGTCCACAGCAAGACACATAATAATTAAAATGGCTAGGGCGCCTGGGTGGCTCAGTTGGTTAAGCGACTGCCTTCGGCTCAGGTCATGATCCTGGAGTCCCGGGATCGAGTCCTGCATCGGGCTCCCTGCTCAGCAGGGAGTCTGCTTCTCCCTCTGACCCTCCTCCCTCTCATGCTCTCTGTCTCTCATTCTCCCTCTCGCAAATAAATAAAATCTTAAAATAAAATAAAATAAAATGGCTAAATGTAATGATGAAGAGAGAATTTAAAAGCAACAAAAGAAAACAGTTACAGACAAGGGAAACCCCATAAGGCTATCAGCTAATTTTTCAACAGAAACACTGCAGGCCAGAAGGGATTGGCATGATATATTCAAAGTGATAAAAGGAAAAAAAAAAAACCATACAATTTAGGATAACCTACCCAGCAAAATTATCATTCAGAATTGAAGGGGAGAGAAAGAGTTTCCCAGACAAAAGAAGTTAAAGGAATTCATCACCACTAAACCAATTTTACAAGTAATGATAAAGGAAATTTTTTGAGTGAAAAGAGAAGGCCATGACTAGAATTAAGAAAATTAGGAAAGAATTTCACAGGAAAAACAAACATTTAGTGAAAGGCAGAAGATTAGTCACTTATAAAGCCAGTATGGAGGTTAAAACACAAAAGTAGTAAAATCAGTTGTGCCTAAAATAATTAGTTAAGGGATACACAAAATAAGATGTAAAATATGACATCATATACATAAAACGTGGAGGAGGGAGTAACAATTTAGTGCTTTTAGAATGTGTTCAAACTTCAGCAACCATCAACTTATTATAGACTGCTATACATATAAAATTTAATATATGAATGCAATGGTAACCTCAAGTCAAAAAATTACAACAAACAAAAAGTAAAGGGAAGGGAAAATAAAATAACACTAAAGAAAGCCATCAAAACATAAAGGAAGTAAACAAGAGAAGAATGGAACAGAGAACTACCAAAAAACCAGAAAACAATTTTTTAAAATGGCAATAAGTACATACCCATTAATACATACTCTAACGGTAAATGGACCAAATGCTCCAATCAAAAAGCATAGGGTGACCGAATGGATAAAAAAGCAAGATCCATCTATATGATGACTACAGGACACTTACTTCAGACCTAAAGGCACATGCAGATTGAAAGTGAAGGAATAGAAGAACATTTACCATGCCAATGGAAGCAAAAGAGAAAGCTGGGGTAGCACTACTTATATCAGACAAAATAGGCTTTAAAACAAAGACTGTAACAAAAGACAAAGGACAGTACATAATGATAAAGGGGACAATCCAACAAGAGGGTATAACTATTGTAAATATTTATGCAACCAACATAGCACCAAAATACATAAAGCAAATATTAACAGACATAAAAGGAGAAATTGACAGTGATACAACAATAGCAGAGGACTTTAACACCCCACTTGCATCAATAGATAGATCATCCAGACAGAAAATCAACAAGGAAACTGGCTTTGAATGGCATGTACTCCAGATAAACCTGATGGTCATTTCCAGAACATTCTATACAAAAGCAGAGGAACACACAATCTTTTCAAGTGTGCATGGCACATTCTCCAGGATAGGTCATATATTA